GTATTTCATGGCACACTCGTTTTATGCGTATTTGGCGCCACCTATTGTTGTGGGTGTATTATTGACATGTCAAAGTCTAGACCCTGAATATAAGCCGACCGCGTTTTTTCAGATGTATTTCCAAGAAAAAAACATCGTCTTATATTCGGGACAATACGGTATACACATATAAGTATTTCTTGAATATATACATGTATATGTGTGTGTATTTATATATACATGATAAATATACACAGTACACACATATGTAAACACAAACTTTTATTTTGGATCGATTAGTCGCGATTAATCGATTTGATGGCTCTACATCAACGTTAGACGGTTGTGAAGATCTGATGACAGATAGTGACTGAAATGAAGACGATGTTCAGAGTAGCATATGAGATAGGAATTTCTACTCAATCAACATCTTCAAATGCATTTTCTCTGTTTTATTTGAATCATTAATTAGGGGTCCAAGATTCTGACCCTCTGAAGAGGAAGGAAAATGCACGTATTCTTCTTAAGATTGGTTGTATTACGGCTGCCAGGATGATTTTACTTTTTTTTCTTTTTATTTATTATAAAAAAAAAACTTGCTATGTGTACTGTGTTAGGCTAACCAAGACTTGTCACAGCACCTACATATTATTGCCCTTTTGTTGGTTTTGATTGCTTCTATTGTCCTCATTTGTTAGTTGCTTTGGATAAAAGTGTCTGCTAAATGACTAAATGTAATGTAGCGTAAACTGTGCAAAGTTGTCGAGTATACAAGCTAGACATAAGTTCTCAATTTCGCAGAACCGTTTTATTATTCCCTCATCAGCTATTAAGAAAGTGTAGGCTAATCTGGCCAAAGAAGAACTTTTGTTTTATAAATAAATTTTCATTTAAAAGCTTACAGCTCCAACGAGGTTTTGTTCTGTCCTCCATGCGGTGCCAACTCACACCAGGAGCGAAGCAACTGGATTTTATTATTATTATTCTATTTTTTCGTCTTTTTTTCTTGATTTTTGGGGTTCTACCATGGGTCAGTTGGCTAAATGGTTGTTCCCTTTTGAGCGTTCACTCTACATTGTGAAGCATTCGCAGTGGGAACTTCTCCAAAATCCTGAAACCTTATAAGATAACGCCAGTTCAATAAAGTGGCCAATTGTCACTAATCCATGCAAATTGCATGCAAATACTGACAAGCCTGCGGGCAGTTTAAAATGCAGCGAAAGCGAGAATCTTCTCCTTCACGCTGCTGCCATCGTCGAAGACGCAACAGAAGAAACAATTATCTCTTCAGCATCCGATGGCTACTTTCTGTAGGATTTGTGCGGGCCCCATCAGCCTGCTGGACACCCACAAGCACTGTGTCGCTTGTCTGGGGCCTGGGGCACATTAACGCTACCTTTACAGTCTCGGACTGTGTCCACTGCGCAGATCTACCGGTTCATGTCTTACGAGCTCGGAGGGATTTTGCTCGTGGTCGACGGGGACGAGGTCTACTGCCGCCTGCGAGCTGCTGGTGGGCCTTTCCCTTCCCCGGGACGAAGGTGATGACTCCTGAAGGTGATGAGAAGATTCCCCAGTCTTCTTCTCTGATGAGAGTTTTCGCCCACCTCCTGCCATCACGGACTTCATCTCCTTCAGCGCCCATGAGGAAGAGGACTCCATGTCCATCTCGGCATCAGAGAAGGACTTGGCAGAGCCGAATTGCCCCGACACTGAGGGCCCTGCTGACCTCCATGATGAGCTTGACAGGGATCTTGCTAAGGCGTTTAAGGAACTTGACCTTAGCTGGGATGCTTTGGAGGAACCTGCCAGGAGAAATTCATAAAGTCATTACTATTAAACTGTGAGGGAATATTTAGATCGGGTGGCGTCTGGTTATTTGTTAATCTAGCCACTGTGCTAAATAAAACATTCTGGAGTGCAGATTTCAGATCCAGCCGAGCAGCTGCTGTTGAGATGAGTGTGACCTGTATTGCTCTCCCTCTCTCTAGCTGTTTAGCTTTCGTAAACTCTGGGCCTTCACTGGACCGGGTTTTCTGATGAGCATCGCGTATCTGGACCCTGGGAACATAGAGTCGGATCTTCAGTCTGGGGCTATAGCTGGATTCAAGGTGAGTCCAGAGTTCATGTTCAGTATCTGCACTCATCTGAACAACACTACGGTCATACGGTCCAGTGTTGCTGCCTTCATTTACATCACAGGCTCGGCTGCTGGCCGTTCTGATTCCTTTTGATGAATCTGCTGCTAAATGGCTCCATTAGCAATGCTTTTAGTGCTTTGGATTGTGAAATATTAAAAAACCAGTCTGTTGCCAAACGATGAGATTCCCCCTCGTCCTGTAGCAACACCAAGGTCACAAGATCAACTCAGGGAAAACAAGAACTGATGCAATGGCAGCCTTCAATGCAGTGTAATGTAACCCCATCAATAAAAGTGCAAACATAAATAATTTCATTTTCAGCAGAACGGACTTGAGTCAGAAATGTGTTTACACTGACATTTGGTGACTTTTCAGTAGAGCTGACACTTATTATGATTTCTGAAGGATCATGTGACACTGAAGACTGGAGTAATGATGCTGAAAATACAGCTTTGATCACAGAAATTAATTACATTTGAACAGATATTCACATAGAAAACAGTTGTTTTAAACCAGTAATATTTCACAACTTTTACTGTATTTATGATTAAATAAATGCAGCCTTGCTGAGCAGAGGAGACTTATTTGAAAAAAAAAAAAAATCTTTATTATTCCGAACCTTTGACTGGTAGTGTACACTTTGTGTATTGTTTTATTGTATTTAAATATTCAAGAGTAAACAAATGTTTCAAACAGTTTATGAACACACCTGTAAAGAACAGTAAGAATCAGAACATTTTCAGATATCTTATCTGACTTGTTTTAGTCCAGATTAAAATGCAAAAATCTATACAGATGTTTGAAAACAAATATTAAATCTAAGTAAGTGTTGTTTGATAAACACCAAAATTGATGCAGAAATCTGGAAGTCTGTTTGAAAGCATGTGAATGCGGTTTGTCTTCCTTTCTTCTCTGTGTCCAGAAACAGAAACAGCACACTCTGTATTGTTTGCAGGTGTAATCTGAGCATTTTTCAGCCGCACACGCGTTTCACGATGCTTCTCGTCCATGTTTGGGTTGTTTAGAGAGTGTGCTCCTCCTTTACACAACACTGATGCAGTGTTAGTACATTTTACCAGTTGATGGAAAATAATCATTCTAAAAATTTAAATAATTCACGTTATTTTAAGGTTCCCACAGCAATACTGTGCATGTTCGTTACGGCGATATACACTGTGTTACCGAACACTGGCACTTGCCTGCTGTTTCTGCCGGCTGAGAGCTGCGTGTGTATTAGTGACTGACGGCGCTGTGTTTGATGCAGGTGCCGCGGATCATCCTGTGGCTGATGGTGGAGCTGGCTATCATCGGCTCTGACATGCAGGAGGTCATCGGCTGTGCCATCGCCCTCAATCTGCTGTCAGTCGGCAGGTACATCATCATCATCATCACACGACTGACAGAGTCACTTCATGTGTGCTTGTTTAGCATCTGTGTCCAATACACATCAGCTTCTCATGTATGTGACACCAGCTGTACTGGGTTCAGTGGGTGAAGATTTCACATTAACCTTTTCCTCTCACATATTCAGTTACCATATATTTTTCTGAACTATTAGACTATCCTCAGGTCATCAGAGATCAGGATGAGTTTGTTTCTTCATCAGGTTTGTAGAAATGTAGCATTGCATCAGTGTTTTAGCAATGGATGCTCTGCAGTGAATGGGTGCCGTCAGAATGAGAGTCCAAAGCTGAAACAAATCCAGCATTAAGACGTTTTTAACTAAAATACGAGTCCATAATTCACTATGTATTTGAGTTAAAAACGTATTAATGCTGGATTTGTTTCAGCTTTTGTCTTCTCCAGATGTTAACTGATGGACTGGAGTGCTGTGGATTACTTGTGGATTATTGTGATGTTTTTATCAGCTGTTTGGACTCTCATTCTGATGGCACCCATTCACTGCAGAGCATCCATTGCTGAGACACTGATGCAATGCTACATTTCTACAAATCTGATGAAGAAGCAAACTCATCCTAATCTGGGATGACCTGAGGATGAGCACATATACAGCAAATGTTTGTTTTTGGCTGAAGTATTCCTTTAAGCATGTGAGACGTTAGGAACTTGAGTCCGTCCTCCTAATCTGAGATGAGCACATTTACTGCTAATGTTCATTTTGAGTGAATTATTCTTTGATCAAACTGACATGTATAGCTATAATTGTCCTTCTGATAAATATGAATGAGCTCTTCACAGTGTGTTTATTGAGGGATTGAGTGTTTGAATTGATTGAGGATGTGTAGAATCGGAGTTCATTCGTCTTGTTGATGGTTGATGTTCTTCTGCAGGATTCCTCTGTGGGCTGGAGTGTTGATCACCATCATTGACACATTTGTCTTCCTGTTTTTGGACAAGTACGGTAGGTCTGCACTGAAGGAGCATGAGAATGATCACACCGGCTGGTGTCGTGGCTCTAATGCGAGTGTCTGGTCGGTCTGTCTTCAGGTCTGAGGAAGCTGGAGGCGTTCTTTGGGTTCCTCATCACCATCATGGCCCTCAGCTTTGGTTACGAGGTTCAGTGCAGCTGCAGCGTGTTGTCAGCCGGTGAATGTTGAAGCAGCGGGTGTGTGACGTGTCTCTCTGCTCTGCTTGTCTGCAGTATGTGCGTGTGGCTCCAGACCAGGTCGCGGTGCTGAAGGGCATGTTTGTGCCGTACTGCAGCGGCTGTGGACCTGCACAGCTGGAGCAGGCCGTCGGGATCGTGGGAGCCGTCATAATGCCTCATAACATCTACCTGCATTCTGCTCTCGTGAAGGTCAGTCTACACACCTGAGTGATCACATCACAGAAATAACTGCATGGTGTGTGTGTGTGCGAGTGAGTGTGTGTGAGTGTGTGTGTGTGAGAGTGTGAGAGAGTGTGTGTGTGTGCAAGTGAGTG